ATGACATTGATCCTGAGTTTTTAGCTGCTCTTCCTCCAGACATTCAAGCAGAAGTGTTAGCACAGCAGAGAGCGCAGAGAGTTGCTCAGCAAGCTGAGGGTCAACCTGTGGACATGGATAATGCTTCGATCATTGCAACCTTCCCTGCTGATCTGCGTGAAGAGGTTCACAAAATATACTTTTCCCCTCCTTGTTAACTGAACTATAATAACTCTTTTTGGCCTTTGTTCCAGGTGCTGTTGACTTCCTCGGAAGCAGTTTTGTCAGCGTTACCTTCTTCATTGCTTGCTGAAGCTCAAATGCTTAGGGACAGAGCAATGAGTCATTACCAGGCACGTAGTCTTTTTGGAGGTAGCCACAGGCTAAATAATCGGAGGAATGGTTTGGGATTGGATAGGCAGACAGTGATGGACAGGGGTGTTGGAGTTACATTAGGTCGAAGGCCAGGCTCTACCATTTCAGATAGCTTAAAAGTGAAGGAAATTGAAGGGGAGCCTCTGTTGAATGCAAATTCTTTGAAAGCTTTGATTCGCCTTCTACGGCTAGCGCAGGTATTGCGATTTACTGTTTTTCATGGTTCAATGGTCAATCAAGCTTGCTGGCTCTGATCAATCTGTCAGAGTGGTTGTAGACTGACAACTTTAACATTAAACTGATGCTTCAAATGCAATATTCAGTTTTAGTTTATGGAAGCTTATGGTGTCATTGTAATGTTGCTTGTCCAAATAGTCAGTGAAAATTTTGAACATTTGTGTATGTTTCTAACACACTGGTTTTTTGTTTGTATCTATTTGTAGCCCCTTGGGAAAGGCCTTCTACAGAGGCTTCTGTTAAATCTTTGTGCACATAGTGTTACAAGAGCAACTTTGGTAAAGCTCTTGCTTGATATGATTAAATCTGAAACTGAAGGCTCAAGCAATGGTTTGTCAACAATAAATTCCCACAGGCTTTATGGTTGCCAGTCAAATGTTGTTTATGGCCGGTCACAGTTGTTTGATGGTAATGCTTTCATCTAATGTAATTGCACCTTTCTGTGTTTGTGTTCGTCATCTTACCTTTAATTTTGTTGCAATAGGTCTTCCACCTCTTGTACTACGTCGCGTTCTCGAGATTTTGACTTATTTGGCTACAAATCATTCTGCTGTTGCAAATATGTTGTTTTACTTTGATCCCTCAATTCTTTCTGAACCATTGAGCCCAAAGTATTCAGAAACCAAGAAAGATAAAGGCAAGGAGAAAATTATGGATGGAGATGCGTCAAAAACCTTGGGAAACTCTCTGGAAGGAGATGTTCCTTTAATATTATTTCTTAAGCTCTTGAATCGGCCGCTGTTTTTGCACAGCACTGCCCATCTCGAGCAGGTAGTACTCTTCTAAACATCTTAACACCCATTAGCTATGGCTGTCAGTCCTACTGCTATAGTGATAATATCCTGTCTTGTTCCTATTGTTAAATATGGTTTTCAATGATGCAGGTTGTGGGCGTGCTTCAAGTAGTTGTCTATACAGCAGCATCAAAATTAGAAAGTCGGTCACTCTCTGATTTGGCAGTTGATAATTCAAATTCCCTTAACCAGCTCACAAATGAAGCTTCTGGTGATGCTCATAAAGATCCTCCTTTGTCAGAACCAGATTCTAATCAGGAGGATAAACGGACCAATGCTGAATCCTCTGTATCTGGTGGCCATAGAAATGTCAATTTGTACAATATATTCTTGCAGCTGCCAGAGTCTGATTTGCGCAATTTATGCAGTCTTCTTGGTCGTGAGGGGTATTAATTCTGATGCTTATCTCAGAATGTGTTTAAAGTTATTTATACTACTTAGGATTTTAACTCCGTGTTCCTTTTTCTCCCATGGTCCCCCTGGAATATCTTTTTATTTTATTTTTTCACTGCTGACCTTTTGTTCAGGCTGTCGGATAAAGTTTATATGTTGGCTGGTGAGGTGCTGAAGAAGTTGGCCTCAGTTGCTGTGACGCATCGCAAGTTCTTTACTTCAGAGCTTTCAGAATTAGCTCATGGTTTGAGTAGTTCGGCTGTCAATGAGCTGATTACACTGAGGAATACACAGATGCTGGGCCTGAGTGCAGGTTCCATGGCAGGAGCTGCAATCCTGCGTGTGCTACAAGTGCTTAGCTCACTTGCTTCAGCTAATGTTGATGATGATACACCACAGGATGGTGTTCGTGAACAGGAAGAGCAAGCTACCATGTGGAAATTAAATGTGTCATTAGAGCCATTGTGGGAAGAATTAAGTGATTGTATCGGCATGACTGAGATACAGCTGGCTCAGAGCTCACTCTGTCCAACTGTATCTAATGTAAATGTTGGGGAGCATGTACAGGGAACATCCTCATCATCACCACTTCCTCCTGGGACTCAGAGACTCCTTCCTTTCATTGAGGCTTTCTTTGTTTTGTGTGAAAAGCTACATGCAAATCATTCTATCATGCAGCAAGATCATGTAAATGTGACTGCCCGAGAAGTAAAAGAGTCTGCTGAGTGTTCTGCTTCCTTATCCTCCAAGTGCGGTGGGGATTCTCAGAAAAAGCTTGATGGTTCTGTGACATTTGCAAGGTTTGCTGAGAAGCATCGCAGACTTCTGAATGCTTTCGTTAGGCAGAATCCTGGCTTGTTAGAAAAATCACTTTCTATGTTGCTGAAAGCTCCAAGGTTGATTGACTTTGATAACAAAAGAGCATATTTCCGTTCAAGAATAAGGCAACAGCATGAACAGCACCTTGCTGGCCCACTGCGGATAAGTGTGCGGCGTGCATATGTTTTGGAGGACTCTTACAATCAGTTAAGAATGCGGCCTACTCAGGATCTGAAGGGTCGTTTGAACGTGCAGTTTCAAGGTGAAGAGGGTATTGATGCTGGTGGTCTGACAAGAGAATGGTATCAGTTGTTGTCAAGGGTTATATTTGACAAAGGAGCATTACTTTTTACTACTGTGGGGAACAATGCAACTTTCCAGCCAAATTCCAATTCTGTTTACCAGACTGAGCATCTATCGTACTTCAAATTTGTTGGTCGTGTGGTGAGTCACAAGCCTGTTAATTTCTGAGCTGGGTGTTTATTGTGATCTTGCAGTAATTTTTTTCTTACTTTTTTTTTTCTGTGAATCATATATGCAGGTTGCAAAGGCATTATTTGATGGTCAACTTTTGGATGTTTATTTTACTCGTTCCTTCTACAAGCACATACTTGGTGTGAAGGTGACATACCATGATATAGAGGCAGTTGATCCTGATTATTACAAGAATCTGAAGTGGATGCTACAGGTTGGTTTAATTATGCAATTTCTTCCCCTGGTTCTTTTAACTGACTTCTTGCATAGTGCACTGGAACCAATGTGCATTGGAAGGGACTAATTCCTCATTCTTTCTATAATGGTCTTATTTATTTCAGAACGATGTGAGTGACATACCTGACCTGACTTTTAGCATGGATGCTGATGAAGAGAAGCACATACTTTATGAAAAAACTGAGGTATGTTAATGCTGAACGATGAATTCTTTTTCCAAGATTTTTTCTTTTCTTGTTTTTGTTTTTCCCATATCTTCTGAATTGCTGTGATTGTTTGCTTGATAAAGGTTACTGATTATGAGCTTAAACCCGGAGGAAGAAATATCAGAGTTACTGAAGAAACAAAACACGAGTACGTAGACCTTGTTGCTGATCATATCTTGACAAATGCTATCCGTCCTCAGATCAATTCCTTCCTTGAGGGATTTAATGAATTGGTTCCACGGGAACTTATTTCAATTTTTAATGATAAAGAGCTTGAGCTACTAATCAGTGGACTTCCTGAAATTGATTGTAAGCTTACGGCCTATGCTTTTTCACTTGTCATTGAGCTTGCCTGTGTTTCTTCAAGTACCTGAGCAATATTGTTATTTTGCAGTGGATGATCTAAAGGCCAACACCGAGTATACTGGCTACACAGCTGCATCTCCTGTTATTCAATGGTTTTGGGAAGTTGTTAAAGCTTTTAACAAAGAGGACATGGCAAGACTGCTGCAGTTTGTCACTGGAACATCAAAGGTACTTTTTTTATTGTGTTAAATGGCTTGGGTTCTTGTTGGTTGTCATCTGTACCAATTTTATTGTGTGTGCAGGTGCCGTTGGAGGGTTTTAAGGCATTGCAGGGCATCTCTGGTCCACAAAGGTTTCAGATTCACAAGGCATATGGAGCTCCTGAGCGGCTGCCTTCTGCACATACATGGTGAGGATAATTCTTGTCGCCATCTATCTGTACAACTTCGGTGCTTTTCTTTTTGTTTTAACCTATTATTTTGGCTCTCCAGCTTTAATCAACTAGACCTTCCTGAGTATACCTCCAAGGAACAGCTTCAGGAACGTTTGCTGCTTGCTATCCATGAAGCTAGTGAAGGGTTTGGCTTTGGTTGAACAAATGTTGTATTATGATGACATTGTCTCAGCAGCACCTATAATCCATCTACAAATTTACATTGTACATGTCAGTATAAGATCCTTCCTCCTCCATGTCATATGCCAGTGTCTAAATGCACCATGAATCTGATCACTTATCGAATGTTCATTCTCTGTTTCTATGTAGCAGAAGCCTGATGGATTTGGCCGATGAAGATGTAATAATGGGAGGAAAAGCTGCTGATCTTAAAGAGTGTAGAAATAGGATTCCGGATGCCCAATGCAGCAGAAATGGAGGGGATGATGCTTGTGCCTTTGATTACTACTGGCGAGCTTCTCAAACAACCAACCCAGAGGAAAAATGAGATTCTTTTCATAGTTTTTGCCATGTCAAGTGATTGAGAGGGAGCACAAGAAGATGGTTCTATTGTTAATATTAGTTTTGTTTTTTCTTTTCTAATTCTTGAAAAGTGCTCACATGGCTAATTGTCTTTTTGGATTAGCGCATGTCCTCAACTATTTCCCTAGTTCTTAATAAGCTAGTGATTGTTCATATTAAATCATCCCACCTTGTTTTTTTCCTTTCCTTCAATGCTCATTAGAAGTCAAGCTAGAAAGCTCCATATCTTTTAAACAACAGCTAGGAAGGTTTATTCTTTTCCTTATGCAGTTTGTTTCTATGTTTTAATCATCACTGCGGCGTTATTGCCCAAAATTCTGATGAAGAAGATCCCTGGTAAAGGGAGAGACAAAGTTTCAGAGAAAAACCCGAAGCCATTACCAAGTGCTTCAGAACTTTTAATCCATTTTCAATGTCTTGAAAAACCCTTTCTCTAGCTTGGACTTTTCCCCTCGTTTAGCTCTTCAATCTTTATGTTGACTTCGCCAGGGTTGTTGGGACCATGAGATTCAAGCAATCGGCCTCTAATGAAGGGTTCATTGTCTGCAATATTCTGTCTCAAACCCCTCCTTCCATTGATACTTTCTATTTCTGCAATTTGACATAAAAGACTTTCTTTCTGCTCTAGCTACTTTCTCTCTGTCTGTTGGAAATCTTCCTTCATAGGACTGATGGTGGCTTTACTATAACAGAATCAACGAGGAAGGAAAAACATAAAGCCTGGCACGTGGTTTGTTGAAAAATGCATGCAGAAGCTTGTGAGAAACTTATTCAAAAAGTCAAATGACACCCGCAATTGCCAAATAAATTAAGATTTTAATCACGTACAAGTGCGCATCAACCATAACCTGACACGTATAGTCTGTGGAAAGTATATGTATGATGTCGAACTGTAATCCAACCCAGGCTGAAGTGGTCAAACCGCATAGGTAGTCACGAAAGGAATCCAGACAATTTTTTAGTCTCTTTGCTAGTACCATTTGCTCATTAATATATCTATATTAATCAAACATCTAACTTGGATTAGGTTGGTAAATGGAATTAGTCTTGGAAAGACAGCGCATTCATTCATTCCTTTGTTGCTGCATTGACAAGGATAGGATTTGCAGATAACTACTACAACCAAACATCTGATCCCCTGTGATGATTATATTAAATATTGCAGACCATACATAAGTTCCATCAATCTATGACCTGATCATGCAAAACAAAACACCACTGATACATGAGAGCCTGAGGCATAATGTATTATTCAACCCAGGCATAATATGAAGTCACTAATCCCGTATTGTAGTTTAAGAGGTAGATGTATTGCCATTAGGAAGCAATATTGTCCACTCATGGTACGTTGGTAGGTAGCTTATAGCATCAACATTTAATGGAATGATAAGGACAAAGCATTTTGCCTCTTCATCCATGAGAAACACAGCAATGTCAATTATTTTGATTGATGGATCCTTCAGCTTTGAGAAAAGAAGTAGCAGACAAGGGCAAAGACAAGTTAGAGAATAGTTTCATCCCTGATATGGTCAGTACTTCTTTTGTTGTTTTCATGCATCGGCCCCACAAAATTACTATTGAGCAATGATCAATATATGAGTGTAAGTTCTACCTACCTCTCCATTTGTATGAGTTTTGCTGATAAAAAATGCAAATAATCTATCAGGTTTTTGAACAAACTAGTTTAGATTCGGCTAACCTTTCCTGCAAGAAAAGACAATTAATGTCTGCAATCAAAACACCCTTTGATTGTACAGTATTGAGAAACAAACATTAGTTCATCAGAGAATGGAAAAGACAAGTTAAAAGAAAAAATAAATCTTCTCAATGGGTTCAAACTCTTTTCTTTAACTTGTCCTAGCCTTTCTCTGCAAACAGTGAACCTCCTGCTTAAGTTTTGAGAATTAAAGAAGTATAGCAGAGAAAGGCAAAGACAAGTTAAAGAAAATGTTGTCCCTGCAAAGGGTTATCTTCAAAATTTTCTTTAACCTGTCTTTTGCCTTTCTCTGAAACCTTCTGCTTACATTAGCTTCCATTTGCAAATCTAACAAGAAAACACAGTGAATTCTATACTAGTCAAAGCTAGCTTTTGTTGGATGACTATCTGGTTTCCTTCTTTTCTTTTTATAGGCATGCTGAGGCACCAACTTACACACAATAAAAGGAAAGTTAACAGAAATTGTATGATTTGCAGAAGGCAGGAAAGTAGAAAGAAATAGGAAAGACAATTTCTTTATAAGTTACCCATATTTTTTTAGGAGAAACACGCAGGAAAAAAGGTTCATCGTGGAGCCATTCAACAAAATACTTCTCTCTTTGGTTTCAAAAGGAAGGAAAAAAAAAGAAGTAAGTTTCTATCACCATGGCCTTCTTGAAAATTTCCTAGGTCCTTTCCCTGGAAAATGATACCAAGTTTGATTTGATGTGAAATTATTTCATAAAATGTTAGATATACAAACCATATGCATGGATTCCGTCTCTCTCCATTTTCCTTTCCAGGAAACTAATGGGAAAACCCTTCCTCCCCTCAAACCCTCTAATTTATGGCAAATTCATGTTCTAATGTTGTTGTCAGTGGATGTCCCACGCATGGCTTATCCTTTACTTTTCCTCTCTTCCTTTCTTTCCTTCCCTTTTTTGTTCTTTTCTTCCATTTTTCCTTCTTCTTTCTTGCTGCTTGCTTGACTTGTTCAGGAAAGAAAGTTTTTAACAGGAAAGACACAGAAGTTTCTGTTCATTCTTTTAATTGCTTATATATATATATATATATATATATGAGGGAAGAAGTTTAAAGTCATTCATACATGACTTAGAGAAGCAAAGATATGCTTAATTAATCTATTAATAATCATTCCATAGTCTCTATAAATATGGTAAGTTAAGTTTACTCTTAATTGCCATCCAATAATTCCCCTCTTAAACTCTTATGTATGTGGTTTTTGGTCATTCCAAACAGCATTAATAATGCAGAAACAAGTGGTTGTGAAAGTTCACATGGCAGATTCAACATATTTTTACTTCTAATTTACAAAATCCTTTACCTTTCCATCCATGGGAAAAGAAGCAAGCAATCATGTTAATAGTTTGGAATGATTAATCCTTCAAAAGAAGTACCAAACAAGGGCAAAGACAAGTATAAAAAAGTTACCAAAATTTTCTGTCCATTGTGTTGGCCCTCCTATGATTGTTTCTTTGTTCCTTTTCATGCATCAGCCCTACAAAATTACTATGAGCAATGATCAATATTCCAACCCAATCCTTTTGGGTTACTTTTGTTTCCCAAGACCCGGATTTTTCTTTCTGTTGTTTTCTTAGGGAAACATGCAGGAAAAAAGGTTCATGATGGAGCCATCTAACCTATATCTACTCTCTTTGGGTTCAACAGAAACGAAAAAGAAAATGTAAAACTGAATTCTTTTTAGAATGAAGCGTTAAGAAGGGTATAATCTTACTGCTTGTTTTATGTTTGACTGAGATAAGATTAAAAATTAATGATATTGATTGATTTGTTCCATTATTTAATTCTAAGGTTTCTATCAAATTCTCCTGTTTACATTCTTTATTTCTCCATTTAAAAAGTTAATTACTTATGATCCATAGCCTTCTAGAAAATTTCCTAGCTAGGTCCTTTTCCCTGGAAAATAACACCAAGTTTAATGGAAATTGTTTCATGAAATGTTAGATGTACAAACCATGCATGAATTCCTTCTCTCTCCATTCTCATTTCCAGGAAAGAATATGGGAAAATCCTTCCTCCTCCAAAACCCTCAAATGATCTTTTCCTTTTTTCACATTGTTTAATGTTGTTGTCCCTTGCATGGCTTTTCCTTTACTTCCTCTCTATGACTTTCCATTCTTTCCTTCCTTTCCTTCTTCTTTCTTGGTGCTTGCTTGACTTGTTCAGGAAAGAATTATTCAACAGGAAAAGACAGAGAAGTTTCTGTTTCTTCTTTTGTTCCTTAATTTTTCCATACATATATGAAGGAAGAAGAATAAAATCAGTCTCTCATGGCTTAGAAAAGAAAACAAAAGATTAATCTATTAATTAATAATCATTCCATATTTATACAGTTTCTATAAATATGGAATTGGAGTCACTCTATCTAAACAATTTACATAAAGTTAAGCTTTCTATTCATATGTATATTATATATTGTGTTTATTGATCCTTCCAAGAAAAGGTATAGGCCAAAGATGGTGAAGCATGTGCTTTTCAAAGTTGACAGAACCCAGCATAAAGTCTTCATTTACTGTTTTAGCACTAATTAAAATGGTCTGCAGCTAACTATATAAATTAATTAAATTATCTTATTGTACATTACCATCCAATAATTCCCCCTCAAACTCTTCTTGTATGTGGCTTTAGGTCATGCGCCCAAAAGCATTGACAATGGAGACACAAGTGTATACGAAATTACCCAATTTTTCTATAAGTTCATGACATGGCCAACTGCCCCCTTGGGCTATATATATATATACACACAAATATGTATTTGCAGCTATACTGTTTAAGTTCATGTTGGTTGTGATTCAGGCTGGAATGTTTGGTTTGATTAGGGTAATATCATGGAATTATTTGTTATCAGTTGTGAGAATTACTTAAGAGTACGGAAAGGTAGCGATAATGAAGTATTTGTAAATTAGCACTTTAGGGATTATATCTAAAGTATCTGATGCCAGGAGCAGTAGGATAAGCATGATTAATGTTAACTGGTTAAGCACAATAATCAAGAACAGTGGAATCCATTAATTTGCTCAGATCAAAGGTTGACCATGGAAGCAGTCAGAAACAAAAAGGGTACCCTTCACAATCTTTTTATTTGGAAACTTCAAGGAGCTAACGGCTTCCACTGTGCTCGAAAGAAATTGCAGCAGCTATGTGGTTGACCTGAAAATACGAGAGCCAAAATGATTTTTTGACAAGGAAAAGGTGGGTTTTTGCAACAATATTTACCATTGCTAAAGATCATATTTCTTACAGAAAAGCTGCCATGGTTAAGAAATTTAAGTAGCAGATGAACTTTGGATTGAAGGGTTATGCTAGCCATATTTATTGATTGAGTATAAGGTTACAAGTTTGGAAAAAAGATAAGATTACAAATACAAACAAGATATGATCAGGATGTGATATGATTTGCTTCAATGGTGGAAGTGGGTTCTTCATCCTTTTCTGGTTTGAGCTCAGACTTCCCTTCCAACAATGGTCACCTTCCTGACTCCAAGCTGTTCTTCCTCAAGTAAATCATGAAAAGTGAAAGATATCTGGTATCTGGTTTCCAACACATGTGAAACTGCATGATTCTGGACCCAAAAAGAAGAAGACGAAAGTACTTTGATAAGCAAAGAAAAGAAACATCAGAGAAGGGCAAAGACAAGTTAAAGTAAAAATTGAAGCCTTTGATTATGAATCTGAGACAACACCACCAAATATCTAACATGTTTGCATTCTAAATAGGTGCTGGAATTGTTCAGATTTACATTCAATGGCTTCAACTTTTGCCTATAACTTGTTTTTGCCCTCTCTGATGCTTCTTTGCTCCACTATACCCCCTCTTTTTCCTCTTCATTTCTCTTCTTCCACCAGGCCTGCACAATAACAAATTCAGTCTACATGATCAGATAAGGAAAAACACCTGAATTTGTCTGATTTTCATGCAGGAATAAGCCATATATCATGCATCAGCAAGACTTCTATGAACTGACAGTACCTTCATGAACAGCTTCTTGCTTGAAAGTCTTTGCTTCCTTGATGCCTCTTCCCTTCTTCTCTCTCGATCAGGTCTGAAAACCAGGACCCTGATGCAACCCCTGATGAATTGTTCGATCACATATCTTCACCTTGGGTTGCATTTCCTCTTGCCTTGCATTGGATATATATAGCTGTTTCAAAGAAAGGAAAACCCATCTCCCACACACGGTGAGGAACACGGTTTCTGTGGAAAGTAAACGGAAATGAAGTAAACGGGTCGGGTTGAATTTCTTTGTCCACCATGGCAGACGACTCCACAATTATTAAAAGATGGGGAGTTTGGTGGAATTGTCCTTTAGAAACACAGTAGCTTGGACCAATATTTAAAATCCTGTTACATTATTTTAAACGAGATAAAAAATCATATAAAAATTACCATTCAATGTCATAAAATAAGCTCGAATTACTTAAATTTTAAAATATCCAAAAATTCGATATGAAATGAAATATTTATATACATATCAATAATTAAATCTTTAGTTGAATGATGCAAAATTTGACATTAAAATGATATGAATGTAACTTCTACTCTCTATTTGCATGAGTTTTGCTGATATAAAAACAAATACAGATATGAACAAAAAAGTTTAGATGTATAATTACATATAATAAACGCTCTACCTTTTCCTGCAAGAAAAGGCAATTAAGGTCTGCAATCAAAGCAGCTTTGAATGCTCAGTTTTGGTCACAAACATTAGTTCATCAGAGAATGGCAAAGACAAGTTAAAGAAAAATTTTTTTTTCCTCAATGGCTTCAAACTCTTTCTTTAACTTGTCTTGGCCTTCCACTGCAAACAGTGAGTCTCCTGCTTGAGTTCTGAGTGTTTAAAGAAGTATAGCAGAGAAAGGGCAAAGACAAGTTAAAGAAAAAGTTGTCCCTACAATGGGATATCTTCAAATTTTGCTTTAACTTGTCTTTGGGCCCTTCTCTGAAACCTCCTGCATGGTTGCATTACCTCCATAACCATTGGGATTACTAAGCAAAGCTAGTTTTTATGGGATGACCATCTGGGTTTTCCTTCTTTGCCATATATATAGGCATGTGAGGCACCAAGGGAAAGCTAACAGAAACTGTATAACTTGCAAAGGAAAAAGAGAAGGCAATTTCTTTGTAAGTAGGAATTTTGAATTATTATTTTATATACGAAAAGAAATTACGTGCGTAAACTAACTTATGAAATTCTTCAAAAACTTACATCTAAAATTATTGTTCACAATTTATTGAATCATATTTTATTTCCGCGTATTGTTTACTAACTGACTCGTAAAATTAACAAAAAGTTTTATAGAAATGTTTCTTTCTCATGATGAGGAAAATTGAATTTTTAAAAAGGATGACTGAATTTAGTATATATATGTTTATATATAAAGAGACCTAACCAAACAATGAGGAAGCTGCAATTGTCACAATCAAAGGAAGGAAAAAAAAATGAACCAATGAACATTTAAAGCTACCAGCAAGCAAGCTAGCAATCTTTTAGAATTCAGGGAAAACAGTGTAATTTTTATAAAAAAAACCATTGGGGGATAATCAGATGAGAATGAGATTAGCATAAATTAACCTTCCATACTTTAAATTACAATGGTATCTTAATGAATGCCAAAAGGGTTGCTTGCATTAAGCTTTCCAATAACAAACATACATAGTAATTAATATGTAGTACTTAGTCATGGTCAATGGGTGCCAACTAATGGGTTTTCCTTCCTCTTTCTATTTTTTTCTGTAATTCAAAATGCACTGAAAGATTGTGACAATTCTATCTCCATCTGTACTGGCCAGTGACCCCATGGATTTTGATTTGTCTGCAATTGGTTTTAGGGTCTCTTGGCTTGTAGCTGGTGTGGAGGAAGGTTGGGGATATTTTGAGTAAATGGAGATGTACTTGTTTTTGTATATCAGTTGGGAAAAGAAAATGAAACAAAAATTTGATTGGAGTTATAACATGAGAACAGTAATCTCTTTCTATTTTTCTTTCTGTAATCCAAAATTGAACTGAAAGGATGTTTCAATTCTATTTCCATCTGTGTACTAGCACATTTTCAAAAGGAGATTATTCACATGGCTAGTGGCCCCATGGATTTGGATTTGTCTGCATTTGGTTACATGGTTTGTTTGCTTGTAGCAGGTGTGGGGGAAGATTGGGATGTTTTCTGCATATATTAACAAAATTTGATAGGAATTATATGGGAGAAATAAAGTGTTTTTTAATAAGCAGATGATCAGCAACAGATCAAAAGCTGAATCATGGGTGTTTCAGAGAGTCATTATCAGGTATTGCAGCTGAATAAATGAATTAATTTTATTAAGAAAAAAAATAATTTCCTCTCATGTCAAATACATCTTTGAACATTCTCTAGAACACAATATCTTTCATCTCTCATCAGCAAAGTCCTGAAGATGCATAGTTAGACTTGGTCTTAACATCACCATTAAAGTCTGCAGCAAAATTCATCTTCCTGTTGTGTTCTCAAAGGCAGCTGTCAAGTTCTTTCTTGAGACCAGAAATTTCCTTCACAATATAGAAACCCTACACTGAGTCCGAGGCAACGATGGCCTTCTTGGTTCCTTGATGATCAGCAACTTGCAGTCACAAAGACCCCTTTTTTAGTTTCTGTTTAACTATCTTCCAGCTCAAGTAAATAGGGGAAACCAGGGAAGAAACCCCAGTTTAATTTGTTCCTGACTCAGAATGAACCACATAATTCTGCATCCAAATCAAGAACATGGGCTAAGAGGAAGAAAAGAAAGCATCAGAGAAGGGCAAAGGCAAGGTAGAGAAAAATTTGAAGCCACTGATTATGAATATGAACAATTCCACCAAACATCTAACATGTTACAAACACGGTAAAAATTTGCTGGAATTGTTCACATTCATAATCACTGTCTTCAAAGTTTTTCTCTACTTGGCCTTGGCACTTCTCTACGCTTTTCTTTTCTTCCTAACTAGCTTATGTAGTTTCTTTCCATCTGTTCTTCCCCAAAATCATTCCCATGGCAGCTCCTCTGATCTATGGTTCTTCTCATTTCTCCTCCTCCCTAGCCTGCATAGCAGAATCATGCAGTTCTCCTGGTCCAGGAACAAACGTGACTGTTTCTTCTGTTCCTCGCCCTGGTCTAGTTTCCTTTCAGGGCACGGGGATTTATAATGGGTCAGGAAGAGAGAGGACAACGGTGTTGCACACGGATTTAACACGGCTAAGGAAAGTAAAAGCGGGGGCAGAAGCTAAAGCCCTGGCACGCGCTTCATTTCAGGAATCCAAGCTAAACACATATTTTAAACTCGTTAAATCCGAAAGTCTGAGAGCAAACCTGGTCTTTTTTTCTTTAATTAATATCTCTTTATTAGTTAATTTTATTATTGTTTAGGGAATTTTTAAAAATAAGATATTTTTTAAAATATTTTTTTTATAATTTTAATTATTTTTAATCAAGTTAGACAACATTATCTTTAATGAAATTATATGTCATAATTAAGTTATTATATACCATGTATAAAAACATGTTATATGTCATAATTAAAAGAGATTATTACACGTCATATTAAAAAATATAAATTTCAAATTCTTAAGTTTATTGATGTATATGTTTCAAATTGATTCAATTAAAAACTATTTCAAATATCTGTTATATTTTTTATCATTTTAATTTTATCTAAAATACTTAAAAATCAAGTTTTTTAAATAACCACTCATCCCAAGTACATTAAAATCATCGTTTAATGTCTTAAAAGTGCAAGAAAAAAAAATTTAAAAATACAAGAGTAAAAAATCAGAAACATAAATTAAGAGAAATTATGATGAATATTTAAAATAGTTTCAAGTTAAGTTATGATTAAATATGATTTATTTTTATAATTATTTTTAAAATATTTTTATAAGAAAAGTTTATTTTTTACTATTTTCTCTTATTTTTATTGTTTTTAACAAAAAAATTTATAAGTAAGCAGATTATGTTAGGATCAGACCACCCACCACCACCGTAGCTATAGAGCTTCAAGCTGAAAGGAAGGAAAAAGGGGTGAGTTTCAAGTGGGTCATCGGTGAAGGTTTCAACACTAAGTTTTACAATTTTTTCCGTCTTTTTCGCTTCCTCTTTCATGTGTGAACTGCTCCATCAAGAAACTTTGATAAATCTATGGAAAAGAAGAAGACATTTTGCCAGTGGGACATGCATTGGAGGCTAGAGAGCTGGAGGGCTTGAGGCTAGGGGCTAGAGGTCTTGTTCCAATAATAATATACTTTATTGGAATGGGTTTGAGCCTCAAGTCACATCATCCAACGTAAAATTATATCGTGAATCTATGTAATCCAATTTGTCCAGGATAGTGTTAATTATCTGAAAGGCTGCAGCAGGACCACGATGTCAGACAAAAGAAAAGGCTAATCATACACTCTATTCACTTTACCAGACATCGGGTTTTGAATATTCTGAAGCCAACTGCTAGCTTTGATGATGGGGGGCCTGGGGTCTAAGTCTAACTTGGATGCAATTTTGCAGCTTGGGAAGGATAAGACAAAATTGGGTATTACTGGTTTACACTGCTGAATGATCATGCTGGCATGATTGGATTTAGTTTTCTGTGTTATTTCGACATCTTTGTGAGTTAATCTATTGATTTCAAAGATGAGAAATTATGGTTAGTATAGCTATATACTTTTTAATATCTAGGTATTGACTTGGTATATAGCATTGTTCTCTTCCTGTTTATTAAGTAAAACATATAAGAAGATCATTAAAGGAAAATTCATGATTATTAATACAAAAATAAATCATAGCAATATTCATCTTATCTTATAGACATAAAATAAAGTATGAGCATAATGAAAATTTGGTCAATCAGCTGCATAGAACAAGACCAATATATCTCAAGTCTTTTCATTGAAGGGTATGATCCCCATCAGTCTAGTATGAAAATGCTTTAGCTATATGTTGGATTGCATAAAATTTGTTCCTTGATGAGAAGAAGACTGATGATGGAGAAGGGTTAATTAAGTGAAGGGCAGAAACAAGTAAGAGAAAAATTTGAAGCCATTGAATAGAATGTGGAAAACTCCAGCAAATATCCAACATGTTTGCATGCAATGCTAAAGATTTGCTGGAGCTTTTCACAGTCACATTCAATGGCTTCAAATTTTTCTCTAACTAGCTTTTGCCCCTTTTTCTGATGCATTTTTGTTCCTCAACTTACTTCTTCCATATTCTTCCTCTCCATCATCACCACATAATTCTCATCTCCAGGTGTTGTCTTCCATGCGAGCTAGCTAGCGTAGGAACTGCAACATGGTACTTGTAAAGATCCAGGTCCAAGCACCCACTTTCTGGCCATTGGCCCTGCAACAGTATCTTCCTGAGGGGCTGAGTTGGTTCCTCGCAGCCCGGAGTTTTCTCCATTAGCTTCTTGTAAATCCTTTGCAATATGCAAAAGATTCGTTGCAGGCTTCAAAATTATCATTTGTTGCAGGCTTCAAAGTGCTGATTGGAACCCAAGAAGTGTTTTAATTTTCCTTTTGGATTTCATTGCTTGGGTTGCATTTCCTCCTATACTGCACCAGGTAACTTATAGAGAGGAAATGAACTGTGCATACGCGGTGTACGAACCAGACATACTTCCCCGATATTGCTTGCTGCTACGAAGAAAATTGCATGGACAATGACAGTGAATGGAAAAGAAGAAAGCGACCACAAAGCTACGGCAGCATAGCCCTGCAATCCTCATCGAGTTATGTTACACCAACTCTTTCCTTTTCTGTCACTGAGTAAACATGGAAATTGGAGTTCAATTCCAGGGTTGCAATAACTCTTCCCTGTTCTTGCTAACAGGTTTCCTCAAAGTTTCCGAATTTTGAGAATTCACTCTGATACTTGTCTTCTTATCACGTAACAAAAATCATAGAGTGATTAATAAACGAAGACTATGGTCATTATGATATCATATTAACGTCATGGAATCAAACCTAAAGCCAATTACAATTATATCGTGGATTAATAGGACTAGACCACCACCTTAATTAAGCTCCAAGGAACTTGACTTTGTCTTCCACGTTCTTTTTGTCCTCCATCTTCTTTCTTTTTTGACATTTTGTCTCCCACCTTGGCTCCCTTGTCTTCCTTATTCCTTCTCTTTCTAGTCAATTTCCTTCTCCTTTCTCGTACAAGTGGATTCATTAGTTTGACTTGTTATAGAGAATTAATTGTCTCTTGTTGTTTCCATTGTCGTACTAGTTGCTACTTAGTACAAGGCCAAAGAAGTTTCATAGCAGGAAAAGTATTAGAAAATTAAAACAATTATAATTCAATGGAAAATCACTTTGATTTAGTTCAATTTGATTTGAATTTGATTTCGATTATTATATTAATATTGAAAAATTTTGAGAGATGTAAACTTAATATACATGAATTTTACCAAAATTAAGATAAAAAAATTCTATTTTAATGTATTTTATATTAAATTTTAGATTTTTTATAATATAAATGCTCGATTTTTTTACTATGAAAACAATATAAAAAATCATAAAAGTAAATTTATAAGGTAAAAAAATCAGAATAGCCCAAAAGCTGGCCCAATATAGCCCTAAAAATGGCTCAAAAGTAACCCACGAGTGGCCCAAAATCATAACATTATGGGTTAAGATAACACCGCTCAGGCCCAAAATTTAAAAGTAGAAAAAACCACAAGAAAGCAAAAATTTTCACTCAGGCTCAGGTCCGAGGAAGAGTTGCAGTTTCACTCATGTCTTGTTCCACAACCAAGGCACTCTCTCGAGTCCACCATGAATTCTCAAAGTTCAGACCTTTTCCTCTTCTGGGTTCCTATCATTTTTCCTCAAAAGGCTCAAGACTAGATGATACAGGCAAAAACCAAGCACAATTCTATGGTAACTCTTCTCAACTTTTTGTGTTTTATGCTGAAGTTTTGAGCAAATTTTGTACAAACATATGTTTCTTACGATAAAGTTTTTTTGAACCCTTTTTTGGTGTAGAATTGGAGAAGAGCATATATACATTTTTAACCATAGACCGTTGGGAGTCCTTGAACCACATGGATTACAAGTTAGCTTCTTTGAGGCAAGTTCATGGAAGGCTAGCTTTGAAATTTCTCAACTTTGTTGTCAAGCAACCTGGTTTGGAACTCAATCATCTTACTCATATGTTTTCAATAACTACTCATGTGCTTGTTAGAGCTAGAATGTATGACTATGCTAAATCGATGTTGAGGCAGGTATGTAAGATGGGTGTTGGCCCAAGGTCTGTTTTTGGTGCTTTGATGGATACATACCCTCTTTGCAATTCAAACCCTTCAGTTTTCGATCTACTAATAAGGGTTTATTTGAGAGATGGAATGATCGATGATGCTTTGGAGACTTTTAATTTGATGTGTTCTCGAAAATTTAAGCCATCCGTTTATACTTGTAATATGATGTTAGGTTCCATGGTGAAAGATACAAGAGTTGGGTCGGTTTGGTCATTCTTCAAGGAAATGCTTGGCTGGAGGATTTTTCCTAATACCGCTACTTTTAATATACTGATCAATGTTTTGTGTGTCGAAGGGAAGCTTAAGAAAGCCCGTTATTTGTTGAGAAAGATGGAAGACAATGGTTATGTTCCAACTATAGCTACTTACAATACTTTGCTCAATTGGTTTTGCAAGAAGGGGAGATATAAATTAGCCTTTGAGCTGATTGATCAGATGCAGTCCAAGGGTATTGAAGCAGATGTTTGTACATATAATATGCTTATTCACGATCTGTGTAGAAACAACAGAAGTGCGAAAGCTTACTTACTGTTAAAAAAGATAAGAAAGAGAAGCATATCTCCCAATGAGGTTACCTATAACACTCTTATTAACGGGTTTGTCAAGGAGGGAAAGATTGGAATTGCTACTCGGGTTTTTGATGAGATGTCAAATTTTAATATTTCGCCAAATCTGGCTTCTTACAATGCTTTGATTGAAGGGCATTCTCATGAGGGTAATTTTGAAGAAGCTTTAAGACTTATGGATATGATGGAACAAGTGGGATCTCAACCTAATGAAGTCAGTTATGGAGCCCTTTTAAATGGGTTGTGCAAGCATGCCAAATTTGACCTAGCAAGAAGAATTTTTGAGAGAATGAGAACAAATGGGATGGGTTTCAGTTGTGTACTATACACTGAGATGATTGATGGACTATGCAAAAACGGGTTTTTGAAAGAAGCTATACAGATGCTTCATAAGATGTCTGAGGAGGGTGTGGCTCCTGGTATTATCACATTTTCTGTGCTTATAAATGGATTTTATGGGGCTGGAAAGATAAAAAATGGGAAGGAAGTTATATGTAAAATGTATAGAGCTGGATTTACACCTAACAATGTCATTTACTCCACATTAATCTACAATTTTTGTAAGATGGGATGCATCACAGAAGCATTGAAAATTTACAGAATTATGAATTGCAGTGGCCAATCTGCTGATCATTTTATTTGTAACATTTTGGTTGCTTCTCTTTGTAGAGATGGAAAAGCAAGAGAGGCTGAGGATTTCATGCGTCACATGAGTAGGATTGGTCCTAACCCTAACTCCGTTACATTTGATTGTCTTATAAGTGGCTATGGAAATTTGGGTGATGGGCTGAAAGCATTTTCTTTGTTTGATGAGATGGTTCTATTAGGTAATAGTCCCAGTTTTTTCACATATGGCAGCCTACTTAAAGGACTATGCAAGGGTGGAAATCTGGTAGAGGCAAAGAAATTTTTGGGCAAGCTGCACTACATTCCTTCTGCTGTGGATAATGTTGTCTACAACACTATACTTGCCGAGTCCTGCAAATCAGGGACTATGTGGGAGTCAGTGGTTCTTTTTGATGAGATGGTTCAGTTTGGTCTTCTTCCTGATAGTTACACGTATAACAGCCTTATCAATGGGTTATGTAGAAAGGGAAAAATTGCTGCTGCCCTTCTATTTTTGGGGAAACTGATGGGGCAAGGAGCTTTTTCCCCAAATCTGGTTACATACACCTGTTTAGTTGATGGTCTTTTCAAGGCTGGCCAATCAAGGGCTGCTTTTTATTTTTATGAAGAGATGGAGCAGAAAGGCCCATATCTTGATGTTCTTGCTTTTAATGTTGCTATAGATGGAACATCAAGGATGGGAAAAATGGGGAAGGCAAATAATCTGTTTTCCACAATGAGAAGCAACGGTTTATGCCCCAATTTGCCTACATATAATATTCTGTTGCACGGATATTCTAAGAAAAAAGATATACAGATGTGCTCTGTTCTTTTTAAACTCATGATCAGCAGTGGCCTTTTGCCTGATAGAGTAACATCCCATTGTCTCATTCTTGGATTTTGCAAGTCAGGCATGTTGGATGTAGGTATTGAAATCTTGAAAAAGATGATATCTAGAGGGGTTGAAGTTGATCGATTTACATTTAACATGCTTATCAGCAAGTGCTCTGAAAGTGGTGAGACAGGAAAGGCCTTTAATCTGGTTGATATTATGAACTTGTTGGGAATAATTCCTGATGCAGAGACCTATAATGCCATCATTAATGTGCTCAACAGAAATCTTGCTCTCCAAGAATCTCGTATTGTTTTGCACGAATTGGCTCAGAAGGGTTTCCTTCCCAAGGGTAAACAATATATTACATTGATTAATGCTATGTGTAGAGTTGGGAATTTGAAAACAGCATTCGATCTGAAGGATGAAATGGCATCACTTGGTATCACTTCATGTGATGTTGCTGAGAGTGCTATTGTTCGAGGACTCGCCCTATGTGGGAAGGTTGAAGAAGCAATGTTGGTTCTCGATAACATGCTCCGGATGCGACTTGTTCCAACTGTTGCGACATTTACAACAGTTATGCACATGTTCTGCAAAGGAAGTAAAATTGCCGAGGCTCTAAAGTTAAGGAATAAAATGAAACTTTGTGGTCTGAAGCTTGATGTTGTTGCTTACAATGTCATCATTTCAGGCCTTTGTGCTGATGGGGATGTAGCTGCCGCTTTCGAACATTATCAAGAGATGAAACAATATAGTCTGTGGCCCAATGCCACTACTTATACTGTTCTAGTTAATGCCATTCTCACTGAGGGGAGTAGCCCCTTTACCGGTGATGTGCTTTTGAAGGACTTAAAGGGGAGGGGAATCATATCATGTGATTGGGATGGAAGTGCCGAGCAGATTCACAGGGCATTGATGATTGCCATGAAAAGGTTGAAGTACTTGCAGCAAAATAAGAGAAAATAGTATTGAAAAAAAATTAGGAATGCAATGCAATGTGGTTGTGACAAAAATCTAGACCCTTTTTTTCTGGAGGTCTGCTTACTGATGAATGTCAAATGGAACTCCTGCTACTCAACCAGTCATGACACTCTGACTTGGTTTGTGTCAAGTCCCTATCCTTTGGTTCCTCTGTGGACTATTTTTCCGTTACATTCAATATAGCCGTTTTCTGCTTTCTTAGGTCCAATTCATTTTCCTTCCTTTTTGGATATCATGGAACCGCAAAGCATGGTATTCAGAGGTAGACAGCGATTTACTTCTATGTGTCAAAATAGGACTGCAACCTATGGAGATACATCATGTAAAAGACTTACAATTTTAAGTCATTCCCGGTATTGCCAACATGAGTTGCTGTGTAACTGTGTGTAAGCCTCTTCTGCTCTTCTCCTCTCGCTCTCTTTCTCTCTCTTCCCCCTTAATATTTGTATGAGTCATCTAGTGTTTCTTCTTTTGGTTATTTTGATGATTTATTGTTTTCTAACCTGAGTAGTTCTGGCCACCGGTCTAAGTATATTTTATAAGGAAATGATTAATATGATTTTCAATGTAAAAAATGGCTTGTCAAGGCTAACTTCAAAGCTTTAGCTCTTTCCTAATTATCCTTTCGCTTATTCTGGCCAACAGGTAAAGGGTACGGGGCACGGACCACGGTAAAAGAGGCAAAGAACAAATTTTCAGCAGCTGGTAGCCATTTGTCTCAAGGTGCCTCAAGCTGTACAGACACGATTTAAATTTTCCCATTTAAAAATATTTTAAAAGGAAAAATTCCTGTTTTTGGATTGTTCTGCCATCTGATTTCTGGAGATGCACCCCTTGTTTTTCGTCTTGTTCATTCAGGACCTAACCAATCAGATAGAGTTTATTGATTTAGCTTTGTTCCTCATCAAGAAGAGTGCTGGGAACATATTTAGAAGATAGAACTGTGTCCTTGCTGTATCCGTGGAAAGGTAAAACTTCACAGCTCGTCACGTGCTACATACGCCTCGGGAAGATCATGAACTTCCAGCAAGTACTCCGCAAATCAAGGTGTCGTAAGCGAAAGCTTATCCTAAAACTTCATCTATATGGTTCTTACCCTTGGAAATCTTTCTTCATCAACACAATGCTCTGTCATGATTTTTCCGGAGAACAAGGATTCCTTATGGCTAGCAGCTCAATAAAGATGGTGGGGGGCGAAAAAACAGCTCCCTCAATGCATGATGAAGCTGCTCGTTTAGCGAGCCTAATCAATCCATGCTTGGTGAGTTCTGTCAGTAAATTTTGTTGATTGGGGTACCCTTTCTTTAGATTTCCCATGTTACAAAAATGTTGTGTACTGCTCTTGGCATGGCAGACAGAATCTAGCAACATGAACAAGGATATGCTCCACTGTAATTGACTTTGTAATAGTTTATTGGTTGCTGTAATATATGTAGTTTTCTTGAACCACCCTCATAGTCTTCGAAAATAGTCCCCCACATCTGAGTCGACACCGTCCCTCTCCATGGCTGGTTTTTCCAAACCTGCAAAATGAGGAGACTTATATTAACTGCCATCATTGAATCATCATGAACATGTCATGTTTGTATCTGCCATTGCATCTGAATGGGTGTTGGTGGTAAGAAGATGATGCTACAGAGAGAAGAAAGACAGGAACACATAGTTGCAATATCCCCAGAATGAAAACAAAATGTTAGATCCCAACAACAACTTGTTCTGTCATTTGTCTGCCAGCTTTGTAGCTTAGTTTATGTTTTTGATTGGATGCCCACAATTCATCATGCTGTCTTTTCTTACCACCTTTTTTCTTGCCTTTTGTTGTTTTGGCTTTGCTATCCCCAAAAAAATAAAATAAAATAAAATAATAATTAAAGAGAGAATCTTATTGTATCTTATACCAAGAATTAAACAATATTTCCATTGCTATAATGAGCATCTTTTTATATAGTTTTATGACTTTATCAACTTATACTTCTCATGACAATGTCACTACCATCCCAACTCAGATTCTACATTTATTTTATTATTTTATTTTAATTTACCAGATATTTAGTTCAATCACTTTCTCGACCCAATGAAATAAAAATAAAAAATAAAACAATATCTCATCCGTCCGTTTTTATTTTTTTAGTTATGTTTTTTTAATTGTATCAAAATGGGGTTGTTTTTTTTTTTCTTTTCCAGGTGTAATATTCTTATTTTTAATATTATTATTATAAAAAAATCAAAATCGAAGTTTTTATATTAATCTTTGTGACAATCGGATATGGACAACTATTTAAAGACAAGAGGAAACGAAAAATGTTTTGAAAATTAATTATAAAAAATAAAAACAAAAAGGTTTTTGTATTTACGTCTTAAATTGAAAAAAAATAATTCGAGAATGCGTATTTATTTTTTATTTATTATGTATTGTTAATTAATCAAAATTAGGGAATTATTAAAAAAATTTTAAAAAAGGAATTTAATTAAATTAATCCTCAAAATTCCCAAATTTATAAACAGTGCCAGCAAATCACTTGTCCTCTTTGCCTCCGTGTAACCCAACATCTGTCACCACGTCGTTTGCCAGCTCATCTTGCCGTTCCCGTTATCTGTGCACGTCATCACCTACGTTATACTAACGGCTCGGTTCACTTCCCCCTCTCCCTCTTCTCTCACCACTCCCTGTCCGTTAACCGTCAAAACTAACGCCGTTTATCCCAACATCCAAAATTTTTTTTCCTCCTGTTCACATTTTTTTCTCGCAAAATTCTTCACTTCCGTCTCTCTCTCTTTCTAAAAGCTCTCATTTTTTTTTTCCTTCTCTAAAGCCCCTTCTCTCTTCTCTCTTCACGAGAAAAGTTTCTCTCTGAAGAATTCATGTCGGTATGTAATCATTTTGGGGTTTTTTTTTTCTGTTCATTTCTGTTAAAATTTGGTTTAGAAAGGTTTAATTTTTGTTGGTTGATTTGATTTATTTTGTTTTTGATGGATTTGAGCCCCGGATTGCTTTGATTCATATGTTTTTGGGTTTTTGATTCTGGGTTTCATTGTATTTTCCAATTTTTAAGAGAAAAATCAAGCTTTGATTTTGTTGCTGATCAAAGTTCTCTTTTTTTGCTTAAAATTTGGGCAAGTTTTGATGTCCATGATTGGAAAGTTACCTTCTGATTATTCTATTTCTGTTTTCTTGATGAGTTGTTTTGGAAGCTGGTTTTGCGCTTTTTGTTTTGTTTAGCTGATGAATTGTGTATCATTTGAGTGATTTGCTTGTGTAATAATATGATTTATGGCTGGAAATTTGATATTTTTCAAGGTAATTTTAGTCTAAATGTAGTTTGGAAGTTAGATTTATATTGAATGAAAATGGGATGCATTAGCAAATGAGTGAATGAATCGTTTTGACATGTTTTAATAATCTTGGTTTTAATAGGAATCCAGCAAGTTCAATTAATGTACCATTAGTTTTGTGTGGAAAATGTAGTTTCTGATTAAGTATGAAGCCTGTAAGGAAGAAGTGAAAATGCAGGATCGTGGTAAAGTTCTTTACATATCAAGAGTCAAGAGATTGAGTTTGCTCAGAGAAGAAAATTAGCTTTTGTCGAGAGTGTTTAGAGGGCACATATTGTTGCTTGTGTAGTATTTGATATTCTAATTGAGTTCCCTGAATGGCAGCTTGATCATGGATGTCATAATCCAATAAACTTGTTCATATTCTGAAGTAGACGAATATTTTCTCTTGATCTGTTTATATTCAATGGACCAACACTAAGTAATTAATGTTCTTTATGGGATCTATAGCAATGTTGTTTTGAAAGATGTGACTAGTTTATGCTTGGATATTCATAACTTGATATTATATTGATTGTTAGTTTACGTCATTTCAAGTTCGACTTTTTGGCAGATTCCTTTTTATCTTGTTTCAAGATAAGTTAAACTTTTCACTGTATCTGTCCAAGAATGTGAACGTTTCAAGTTATCTGGTTGTGTTTTTATATTGATGTCATATGCTTTTATGTGGTCATTCTATCTCCCTTTAATGTTCATTGTGATTTCTTCTCAATTGTTGCACATTGTGTGCTTTAACTGTATAATTGAGTGTATTGTTGCTATCTAGGCATGGCTTGCTTTCACTGTTCTACCTACCTAACAGCTCCCTTGAATAAAAGTTGTTACAAGTCAATGATTATATAGTTGTTTAGAACAGTTATTTTATGAACCATTTTTTATTGTTTTGTTGGACATATGATATTGAAATAAATAATGATCACAACGAATTTTTGTGGTCTTAGACCAGGTTTTTTTGGAGTGCTTTCTGTAAGTGATCAATAACCAGTGTTTGGTTAATTTAAACTGCACTGTCTATTTAGGCCCATTTATGAGTTGTAATGATTCAGATTGCAATGTGTCTTTTTACCCTATTGCACAAAGAATCAGGTCAAAAGTCACTTTTGTTTGTTCTTCAATATTCCAAAGCATGCCAACAAGATTTGCAGTTGTTAAATAGAATTTACTTTGTTATAAGTTGAAGCTGAACTTATGTAAGAGCCATATGGTATCTAGTAGCTCTGCAGCTGTCATTCAGCAGCTTGACTGGCATTTAGAGGTTGGATTGAATGAATAGTGGTTTATCAGTTCCTTTCTCCCCAAACAACCAGCAAACTAACAATTTATTGTTGTAATTGTTCTGTTGTCATACTATTCCTTGCTTATTGAATGTGAAAAAATTGTTGATACTGAGCTTGGTGTTTATCGGTATGGCTTCTTTGGTTATGAGGATTTTGACATGGAACCTTTTATTTTCTTTTTGCCCAACAGGACAAGGGACGGCCATTGCCAAAATTTGGTGAATGGGATGTCAATGATCCTGCTTCTGCTGAGGGATTTACTGTGATCTTTAACAAGGCAAGGGATGAGAAGAAAACAGGTGGCAAACCTGAGTCTCCAGCGAAGTCTGATACTCATGTTAAGTCTGGAGTGGATCCTGGCAAACCCCAGCCTGTAAGTAATCTCTAATGACTTCTTGTTCTTGGCATCTGGATGCATATATTAGGGCAGTGGTGATACTTGCTTGATGGTAAATAGCAGTTTGCTTGAATGTGGCACCATTTCCATATTCTTATTATTGTTATAAACTGTAGATGTTTTAGATTTCTCTCCTGACGTTGTGCTCTTCCATAGAAAAAATGGTTTTGCTGCATTCAAGCACCACCTGCGGAATCTTGATGAAGTCCTGCCTGTATAAGAGCTTCCACAAGTATGTTCAAGCCCCACCATATATTCCTAAACAAGATAGGATCTATAGGGCAGTGATAAGCCCTTCTGGAATTTGTTTTTTTTGTGGTGTAAAATTTAATTCTGGTGGGAGGAAAGAGCAAAGAAGACAAACACTTACTGTATCTATATGTACTGATTTGGTGGGTTATTATTAGAAGCTGAGTTATTTCTTCTTGTCTTTGCCTACTCTGTGTTATAAGCTGTAGAGCTTTGGTGTGACATATTCTTTCTTCATGTTATACAAGTGATTGGCGTGTTTGTGAAAAGGTTCTCGTTCTCTTTCACTGCTCTTTCTTTCTATTAATTGGAGACAACAATAGAACTCTCTTTCGCATGCCATTCCTTCAAAATATTTCAGTGGCAGTAAATAGCTTGCAGGTAGCAGAACATGTTATATGGTCATGAAAATCCTACCATTGTAGCTCTCTAGAATTGCTGATGGTAGATGTGCCATTTTTGAGTAGTTCGAAAATGAACATATCGCCTTTCCAGGACTAACAATTTCCAGACAAAAGCATGTTTGCAGATAGTGGCTGATGAAACATCACTCACGCCGTGTGAAACCATGCAAAAAATTTAAAGCAGAAAAAACTTGAAACTCATGCTTTATTGATCTAAAGCTCAACCATAGCAAATCTAAAAGGCTCAACCATGCAAAAAGTTTAAAGCGGAAATAACTTGAAACTCATGCTTTATTGATCTAAAGCTCAATCAAGGCTCGACCATAAGAAAAAACTGTATCCGAATTCAAGGATTCTGTACATGTATATTAAATGCCTCAGATTACAACAGTCTGCATGATCCTATAGCCAATAAAACATTGCATCGTAGCGCTTAAACTAAACCCGGGACATCCCAAGCTTCCGTTCAAAAAGGTGTCGGAGTAGGTAAACTTGCAGAACACTTGCTCCAATTAGTGCTGCAGATTCATAAATGGCCTTGTGAACTGCTCTTTTACTCATAGCTTCATTTACTGCATTTCAAGTCGAGAGAGAATGATTAGACGAAAAAATAATCAACTGCAAAGGATTCATGCGAGACAGAGAGAGAGATTAGTGCAATGCTTATGCTACAGGTTTTTATTTGATGCAATATGGATATTAGCTCCAATATTCCAAAAAGACACTTAATTACACCTTATTATATTTCATCCTCACCGGGTTTAACAAGCTTAGGTTCAGCGATAAAAAGAGTAACTGCTCTAAGAAACATAGCATAGGTTCGGCAATAGAAACCCATGAAACAAACTCTGCAGCTGCTGAGTGAGTAACATATAGTGAAAATATTTCCTAGTACACAATTTAAAAGCTCGAAGAAACATAGTATAGCAACCTAAGTGATAATGAGTTTTAAGACTTAAAGCGATGCTTTATTGTAATTCATAGCAAAATCTAGCAACTTTCTCAATTGCTTTAAGGTGATGGTGACAGGAGCAGATAAGTCCTTAAGGCATCAATGATGGAACATCAGGCAGAACTGCCTTAATTAAAAATAAAAAATGTTAAGGTAAATATACCTATTGCCTGCCGTTCTGTCTGAGCCTCTAACCAGTGCTGCTCGAACTGAATGTTATAAAGAGCTTCCTCTAACTTAGATATTTGTTCTAACAAAGGGTTAAAATGCTCTGCAGACAAGTATGAGAACAGCAGTCAGCACACTTTATTAGAGGTTTAGCAGGGGAAAAGAATGAAAAAGCAAATAAAACATGGCTTACCATCTTTTGCGTGCTGATCATAGTATGTAAAATGACTTTCGTGTACATCAAAGTCGACCGTTTCATAGTAAGGAGATTTATTACTGAAGCAGAAACGATGTACTCCTTTTTGATGAGCAACAAACTCAAATTTGTCACTTATCTTGTCACGATAATCTTGAATCTGATCACCAGTAGGTCCCTTCACCTGAAAATTGCCAAAAGTCGCAAGCTCAATCGCCACCTTTACAGGGGAAAGAAAAATGAAGCAAACTACAAAAACAAACTAACTGCAATCAACCTGACACAGGACATAAACAACCTTCCAACGTTCTAGTTTGCTTGTCATTCCACTAGCATGCGAGTAGTCAATTTCAGTTTCCTAAGGGTTAAAGTCTTTGTGACATTGAGTTCCCAATCATAGGAAAAACAATCAAAACCTTTATTTTGAACTCATTATTTGACTTGAAAGAGCTTGCAAGTACTAAATTTATACAACCCCATTTTCAGCATCCAACTTATTCAAATCAGAAAAAGAATATTACCACCTATAGCACCATGGAAATTAGAAGAAACAAAAGCAACAACCCCTAATTGCCTTTGCAGCCAATAGGTATCTCAAAGTTGGAAATTTGGAATCTGTTTCCACCTTCTAGTCCAGGCTACCAACTTGAAAAACATACTGATATTACCCATAACAAGAGATCAGTCGTTGGACTAGAAAGTAAACCGAAATACGTTTTGAGTACAGAATTTGAAAATGGATTCTTGGACATTCGGAGGAAGCGTTGGTGGTAGAGGGTGCTGTCAATCACTATGAGTAAAAGGGGAGACAGATCTGATTTAGATTCACCAGATCACCTGTCCTCAAACACTACGCATCCACAGTTTGTGATCTTAACAATGCCTAAAGTAAGAAATCTTAACATTGCAATAACAGAACTATAAATTTTACCAATCGAAACATAAGTACATGACAGGCAATGACACAATCAGATTAGCTGTTACAAAGAACTAAAAAGCTTACCACGAGATCAACACCCTCATGACTAGAATGCCAAGTTGAATCAGACTTAATGACAACGAACGACACATGAATCGTATCCCCCTCGTACTTAACATTATGAGAGAAGCATTCTTCTCTGTCGATCACGAATCTAATCCCAAACACTGCATTTGGACAACACAAGAATGCCAGCAATATAGCAGCAACAAATTCCTGGAATCCAATTTTCATCTGCAAAATTACAAAAGTCAATGTCTCCAACTTATAAAAGATAATAAACAAATAAAACTAACATCATAAATTTGCATTAATTTGATTGCACAAACATCAAAAACTATACAAAATCAAATACTAACAGACTAATACTTTATCAAAACCTAAGGCAAAAAGAATTCATGAGATAATAATAAACCATAAATAGTAGTAACAGGCTTTTCTTATATAATTTCCCCAATTTTCCACCAGTTGTTTCCTTCAAATTTCATGATAATTGATAAAAACCCAGAACTTTTTTCCCACCCAAAAGCATTAAAAAGAAGAAAAGAAAGATGAAAACTTTTTGACCCAACAGATTTTCCAAGCAAAACCCACAATTATTGAGGCAAAAACACAAGAAGAAAGCAACAGAAAGACAACTGAATGATCTCTTTGGTGTCTCAGAAAAGGAAGTAAAATTAAAGGAAAATAACTCAAAAAACAAGATCAAAACTACGAAAAGTCAACCAAAAGAACTAAGATTTTAGAGGAATAAACTGAGGTGATTGAATTACGATAACTTGGTATTGTAAAGATTTATTTAATCATAAGATAAAATTTACCCTTTTGGGGAATTTCTTTCTTCTTTGAAGAGTTGAAAAAGAATGTAAAGATTAGATCTTTAGAAGGGTTTTGAGAAACACAGACAGACACAAAGGAAACAACTTTCGAGCACTTGGGTACTTCGAAGTCTAACGATGTTGTCCTAAACAGGGTTATAATCACCTGTATATCATGTACAGAGTAACAGCTCTTGTTTATCCCACGTGGCCCAATTGTCTTTTTTGTTTTCCTAAAACCAAATTTTGCCTTAGCTAATTTACTTCTCTCAAATTCTTTCTTTTTCTTGATTTTGTCATTTTTTCTACTTTTTTAATTGTTATTAAAATTAAGATAAAAATTTTAATTTTGATGTATTTAATATTAAATTTTAATTTTTTAAATTAAAGAATTCAAAATAAAGATGCAACCCTTATTATTAATATACAAAAATCAACCAAACAATGTATTTATATTGGAATTAGTGAAATCTCAATACATGAATGTGAAGCAGGTAATAGCAGAGAGAGCCAACACCACTGATTTAACAGCTACGGAGCTTGGGATCTTGCCCTTATCCTTCCTTAGGAAAAGGCCTTGGTACAATGGCAAGTTGATCAGAACCAAAAGGCTACACAGAAGGATTTGCAGGGCCATTGCCTGGTATTGGCTTATTGAATCCTTGTTCAAGGCCAGCTTCTGCACCACTCCAAGCAGGGAAAACAGATTCAGCAACGCAATGGTCGCCAGGAGAGTGAACATTGGAGAAGAAGAGGAGGGTCCAAATTCCATGATCTCCCTTTGATATCGTTCTAAAACATCCTCGTCTGCTACCTTTGCTGTGATCACAAAGGCAGTATCAGAAAATCCTAGTGACTTTAAGATGGTATCAGTGAAGCCAAGGACATAGGAACTTGTTCTTCTGTACAGCCACATTCTTTGGTTGTTCCACCAGCCAAGGATTGTGCCTCCAGACCAGAGAAACTCGATGAGACTATAAGCATACTTGGAAACTATGACATATACATATGGTATAAACCAGGGAGTTGAGCACTGGATTCACAGAAAACAAGTTCAGTTTGCTGGTGGATGGATAGGAAATAGTCAAAAATATGGTCAGTTAACAGTTAAATTACCTGTGGAAACAAGGAAATGCCTCTAAGCAGACAAAGAGAAGGAACCACGGAATAATATAATGTAGGCAAGCAGTTTGGAGCCCAGAGGCAATAGCAGCAGTACCCCATTTGAAGGCCCAAACTGATCTTTCCATGGGCGAACCAAGCAGGACCGTACTTTGAAAGAAAAATCTGGAAGTCACCCTCACTCCATCTTTTGTGCTGCTCTAGTGTCTGAGGTAGTGTGGTTGGTGCAACACCAATGAAGGCACTCCTTGGTGGATTGAAGTAAACTGATTTCCACCCTTGGCATTGGATTGATAATCCTGTTATCACATCTTCAACCGGACACCCGTATTTCAAACCAATCTGCAACATTCTGGCATTGACAATGAATTAGTGTCTGTGTCTGAAAGATAAGAAAGAACGAGAGGGGGAAGAGCGAGAGGAATTAAACCTCTTTTCCCCTTTGAGTGTTCTCTTCATAGGTACAACTTGCAAGAAACCTGGAAGTTTCTTCTAGTTCATGCGCACTTTCCTCTCTCCTCATCGTATTATTTCCTCCCTTCCATTGAATCTTGCATTCCTCACTGAATTTCTTTCCACATAGCGCATCCCTTCTGTGAAAGCATCCTGTTCCAATGTATAATGGGCCTCCATAACCATCCAAACCATGAAATTCCACCTTCAGAACAACCTCATTGTTTTCAGATACAGAAGAATAATTCATTGAAAGAAAAAAAAGATTAAAGGATAATACCCTGCTTGTACATGCTGTATAAATGATTACCTCACGGCCTACTATTAATGAATTACCATATATATCATTCTTAGTAATGTTCTCAAAGATCTGCGGAAACTGCACGAAAGCAATCTCATGACCCTTCTCTTCATCCAAGAAGAAGCATAGAGCATCTAGAACAGCATGTGAATTGTTTGAGTACATATCACAGTCTACATTAAGAATGATCTGCCCATTGCTAATATTCGACGACACTCTTATCTGTATATTCACCAAGTTCTTCTTAGATTTTGGTAAAATTAAAAGAAAATAAAAAAGATGTCAGAAAACATTGTTGTGCAGATTACCAATGCATTCACAGCTCCAGCTTTGAAGTTATGGGGATGTTGGGGTCTCTTCTCCCTAGCCAAATACACCAAAGTTGGCAATGCACTTCCTTTAATATCTGTGGCGTTGCCATCAATCAATATCTGTAAAATTTCAATATTCAGACAGTTAGTAGTGAACTGCTTGTATGTGATTGAAGTGCTGCTTATCAATATAACACTTAATATACTTGAAGAATAGTATGATGGTCACGCCTGGAAGCATACAAATTCCACTGAGAAAATCCTCTATGTTTTGAGCATATTTCCTTGGAGAGTCGGCCTAGCTTTGCTGCACTTTCAATTCTGTTCTCCATGTCTTCATATAATTTCTACAAGAATGTTAAGGGAAACATTTTTAAAAAAAAGGAAAAAAGGACTTGGACAAAAACGAATTTAGGAACATTACCTTGATAGTTGCCAAGGGTTTATCCTGCTTGGTGTCATGTGTATCAGAAACTGAGATAAAATATGCTGCTGGAGATCTTGGTTCCACATTGAAATCTTTGCAATATGGTATCCAATGTTTAGCAAACTGAGAGGCTTCTAAGAGAGCATAGAAGGTAATATCTGAACCAGCATCATCTGAGAGATACACGCTGAGCTTCTCCGGTGGGTAGTCATAGGCCATGACTGATAAAACAGTGTTAATCACCATCATTGGAGGTTCTATTGCAGGATCTGCGGTGCACACGAATATGTCCACATCAGGCAAGTCATTTCCATATCTGTATACAGCAAAGCAATAACGTGTTAGGACATCAAACAAGTCAACATATTGTTTCCATTCTTGAAGTAGTTTTCCTAGTAATTAATGGTTGTCTGATAGAAGTACTTTAACTGAATGCCACCAGCACTTAAGCAAACAAGGCAGTTTTACCCCCTTGTTCATGCTCATTTAAGTGATGATGCCTATGCAGACAAGATAAAGAGTTCAAAAGGAAAACCTCTTCGAGAGCCTGTCCTTGAAGGTGCACCTGTAAGAAGGGTTCCACCTGTGTGCTTCACTGAGGATCCAGGAAAAACCAAACCACAACTCAGATGCAAACAAACCAATCCAGATCCATTTCCCATCTTCTCCTTTTCTTGGTATGTGACTCAGTCTATAAGCCCAAATTGAACATATGCCTATGAAGATAGATACTGCAAAGAGCCTATATATGGCTATGCCCTTCGCTCTCTTTGTTTCAAATAGAGGAGCATACTTACTGTTTCTCATCTCTGCCCTTTTCCCAAACTTTAAACACCTTTCTAGTCTTTCCCACACAGCTGAGGTGATAAAAAGGGAGAAAGAGGAAACAGGTAGTGGTCTCTGCCAGTTTTAGATTACAAAGAAAATTGTACTTTGATGAAGTCCACAAAATTTTGTATACATCCAATCAAGCAACCAAATAAGCCAAGTGGTCCTGTCTTGCAGCTTGTTAGATACAAAAAGTAATGTTGAAAAACAAACAAATAAAATCTACTTGAAATTGTCACATCATTAAACTTATGAACTGTCCCTCATGTTTACATTAATTGTCAAGACATGACCAATATGAAAACAAAATAAAGAAATCAAATAACCACCAAGTAAAAGACATGTAATTAGTACAGACACTACTTTCCAATTGAAAAGTACTTTTCGCATTGAGTATTGCAAGCAGGCCTAACTCCATCACACCTCCATAGGATCAGTTTTCAATACTCCTAGTTTGGATCTCAGTAATTCAAACCTATCCTTCTGTGTCAAATGTTCTTAAATCACTCCCATGCTTAGCTTTGTGCTTAGCTTTGTGTATATTATCTCTGTAAGTCTCCCAGGGATAAATACTTCCATTCTTGTCTTGGTCAAAAGAGGCAACATGTTGCTGAAAGACACTCATGCTATTGATCTTATGTCCTGATGTTCCATTGGGAAGTTCCTCAGGAGCTTCCAGTGCTCTAGCCAAACAGGGCTTTGGTAATTTTTCTTCCAGGTCATCTTGAATCTTTCTTTCATCAGTCATCAATGGAAGATCTTCAACGAGACTATCAGTGATCATCCGTTTGATAGACTTGGAATTGACATGTCTGAGTCTTCTGCGCCAAAACTTGGCATCACTGATTACACAATGATATGCTTTGAGTTCCACCGTTAACCAATCCAAGTGGCAAACACTTGTTTTTTATTTGTACCGACAGCAGCTCAACACTAGAGTCAAAGATTGTGCACAGTGTCTCTTTGAATAGCAAAGTACAAGTTTCTTCAATAAGCTGGCCAACACTCAACATGTTTATTGGAGCCTGCGAAAAGTGAGGAAGCAAAGAGGCATAGGATATGCATTGTGATCGCACGAAGTGGTCCTGCAGAGACTAATTAGCAGTAGAATTTGAACCCAGATAGATCAAATGTAGATATGAAACACATCAAAGTATGAGGCCAGCAAAGCAAGTAGCCCTAGGTATTGTAGCTCAGTCTGAGTTGTCTAGTTGTGGGTGTCGTAGAATCCCCAAGGGACAGAGGGTATCCTTTTATTTCTTCAAATCATGGAGTGAGAGACTGTGAGTTACAGGCAAATGGTAACAGAATAAACAACAGGAAAATTTAAGTCCAGAATGTAAAGCAAGTACATACAGACAGAGCTAATACAATTGATTTAATTGCTATAGAGTTTGGCATCTTGCCATTGTCCTTCCTCAAGAAAAGTCCTTGATACAAAGGCCAGTTGATGAGAACCAGCATGACACATAGAACTACTTGCAAAAGCATTGTCTCATAAATTCTAGCAATGCTCTCTTCCATGGCTACGTTCTTCATCAGTCCAGCCAAGCAAACTAAATTTATCAATGCAATTGTTGCCAGTGCAGTGAACATTGGAGAGGAGGCTCCGAACTCCATTATCTCTTTGCCATATCGGTTATAGACTTCCTGGTCAGAAACTTTGGTAGTGATTACAAATGCTGAATCAGAATTTAGTCCTAATGTTTTCGCAATGGTGTCGATGAAGGCCAAGAGGTAGGAACTTGTTCTTTTGTAAAGCCATATCCTTTGATCATTCCACCAACCAAGGACTGTGCCACCACTCCATAGAAACTCAGCAAGGCTATAAGCTAATTTGGAAATTGCAACAAATGCAAATGGAAGAAACCATGGGCTTGAACACTGGATATGTTCATTTGTCAGAAAATGATTAAACTTAAAATTTGTCTGAAAATGAGAATGAAAGGTAGTAACATACCTCAGGGAACAAAGAAATGCCTCTTAGAAGATATAGGGAAGGAATGATGGAGTAGTATAGCGCTGCCAAGCAGTTAGAAGCCCATAAGCAGTAACAGCAATATCCCAGCTGAAGGCCTAAGCTAATCTTTCCATTGGCATACCAAGCTGGACTGTATTTCGAAAGTAGAATTTGAAAGTCACCTTCAGACCATCTCTTGTGTTGCACCAGTGTCTGAGCAAGTGTGGTTGGTGCAACTCCTAGAAAAGCCTTCCTTTCCGGATTGAAATACACTGATTTCCATCCTTGGCATTGGATTGATAAACCTGTGATCACATCTTCAACTGGACACCCATACTTAAGTCCCATCTGAAATTTAAAATGCATTAAGCTGAATTAAGTGTGTATAAAAATATACACTAGCATGTGTGATTGAGTGAGGGACAGTAAGAGAGAGAGTTACCTCATTTCCCCACTCAGTGTTCTCTTCATAAGCACAATTAGCCAGGACCTTTAATTTGTCTTCCAATGCATGTGCCTTTTCTTCCCTTTCTCTGTCTGTTGCTATTCTGAATTCATTTTTAGTTTCCCTGCTGAACTTCCTTCCACATAGTGTATCTCTTCTGTGAAAGCAGCCAGTTCCAACATAAAGGGGGCCTCCATAGCCATCCAAACCATGGAATTCCACCTATCATTTTCAACATTAACAGAAGAAAAAAATCTTGAAGTCATAAAGACTGCCAAGAAGAGAAAAATCTTGTATGAGCAGCAATCAGTACATGAATGCATACCTGACTTATTACTCTCATTGAACTGCTATATAGTTCATTCTTGGTAATATTGCCGAAATTTTGTGGAAACTGTACATAAGCAATCTCATGGCCCTTTTTCTCATCCATGAAGAAGCAAAGAGCATCCCTCACAGCAACTGAATTATTTGCATACATATCGCAATCCACATTAAGAATAATCTGTCCATTGCTAATTTCTGATGATACCCTTATCTGCATGTTAAGTTACATTATCTGCTAGGTTTGGTGTTATCAGAATATATATATAAATAAATAAATATATATATACACACACACACACATTATCTGTTCCTAAAATTTGCATGATACACTTCTAGAAACACTAACACGTGTGGTGACTTATAGGACAGGTGTTTTTTAAGTTAAGCAGACTGCATGTTAGCAGTCAAGTGTCAAAAACATGCAACTCAAGCATGTTTTGATATGATGTCTGGTTTTAGCACTTGTCAAGTGTCATGCACGAAGAGCACTTACTGTCTTTATGTTTTTGAACTATTTTTTAATGCTGAGTATCAGACTGAATCAGTGAAGAAGCTTTACAGATAAAATTCTCAGAGTTTTCTGCTTCTGTTCTATCTGTCTTTAATAGCAGTACCTACTGCCCTTGCATGTCTGTATTACTACTTTGACAACAAAAAGTTGCATGTTGAACGGCAGAGTATTGTATACCAGTGCATTCATAGCTCCAGCTTTGAAGTTATGGGGATACTTGGGTCTCTTCTCCCGAGCCAAGTACACCAAAGTTGGTAATGCACATCCTTCCATGTCCTTGGCATTCGGGTCTTTCCCATCAATCAATATCTGGCAAAATTCAGTTATGCAACAAATTTGTACTGAGTTGGTTCAAAGTGCTTTCAAGTGTTACTCATCATTAACAAAAACTGATGTTTCGATTTTAACATACTTGAAGAATGGTGTTATGATCATTCCTAGAAGAGTATGAATCCCATTGAGAAAACCCTTTATGCCTCAAATGCACTTCTTCAGGCAGACGGCCTATCTTGGCTGCATTTTCGATTCGGTCCTTCATGTCTTCATATAACTTCTATAGAGCAAGAGTACCAGCATAAGATTTAAAACAGACTTTAAAACACACTAAAACTTGTAAGTAGAATAGCAGTATGCCAAGCTCTTGCAATCCAATCTTGACCCCCAAATGCAAAACTCTTTAATAAATTAATGAAGCATTCAGGTTAGATTCTTTTTAGTTGGACCAATTAACAGTAAATAATATCAGATTTATAAGTAATATAAGTTCATAGAGTCGTTCTTCCTGCCCAAATATCAATAAAGTGAAACAAGAAGTTCAACAGAACAATATTTCTTTATGTAATAAGACAAAGATAGCTCTGCCTCTGTCTTTGCATTTTTTTCAATGTCTTACCAGGGAAACAGTGAAGAAGTATAGGTACCTTTATAATTGCTAATTCTTTAGCCTGTTTGGAGTCTTGTGAGTTAGAAATTGAGTCAAAGAAAGCTGCCGGAGATCTTGGCTCCACGTTGAATTTTTTGCAGAATGGTATCCAATGTTTAGCAAACTGAGAGGCCTCAGATAGAGCATAGAAGGTAAGATGTGAACCGGCATCATCGGAGAGGTACACACTGAGCTTCTCCGGTGGGTAGTCATAGGCCATAACTGATAAAACGGTGTTAATAACCATCATTGGTGGCTCAATCACAGGATCCGCTGTGCATACGAATATGTCCACCCCCGGTAACTCATTTTCATATCTGATCATACCTCGGTAGTTAAGCAAGCATTCAAAATGAAAAAAGATTATGTATCGAAAAGGGTCAAGAGGAAAACCTTTGGGAGAGCCTGTCTTTGAAGGTGCGCCTATACACTTGGTTCCACCGGTGTGCTTGAGTGAGGAACCAGTAAAAACCAAACCAAAGCTCAGCTGCAAGCAGACCAATCCAAACCCACCTCCCATCTTCTCCTTCTCTTGGTAGATGCTTCACTCTGAAAGCCCAAATCAGACATATACCAATGAATATAGACCCTGCAAAGACTCTGTAAAGGGCTGTTCCTTTTGCTCTCTTTGTCTCAAACAACGGGCGGTATCTATCATCTCCCATCTCTCTCTGTCTCTCTCTCAAACACAGACAACTATAAATCTCCAAGCGCTATAGCAAAAAATCAAATGATAAGATACCTTGTCTTCCCCTCACAGAAAAGTCTGTCGAGAATTATTTATTTCTCAACTAGGTGCACCTGTCACGGGGCGATTCTTAAGATCACCTTCGTGC